GGAGACTCGTTAGCAGGCACACACATTAGCGGGAAGCATATGCATATTACTTGCACAATGTGTTCCTCTAACACTTGTTGGTTAGAGCAGGTGCTGTACTTCTGGGAAATTAACTTTAATTGGATAAACAGTAGAAAACTGGCGTTCGCTAAGCTGGTCCAACACACTGTTTTAGCTTATTATTTTCTTTAGATATTCCGAAAAGTTTGATGACGCTCCCTTGGTGGCTTTTGCTTCTTCCCAGAGCAGACTGCATTCACAGGGTGAGGCTGGATGAACAAGCTGCCAAGAATGGGTGAGCTTTGTTTGGTCCTGCTGTAATGCAGGTGGAGTAGACATGAATGCTGGCTGGGCTCCTCTGCATTGCTCTAAATGAGATTTGCAAGCAAGCTGTGAAGTAGGAATCTACATCCAGCCCTGGGAGAGAGTGCAGAGCAATCCTGCCCTGGCTGACTTTGTGACAAGATGAATGAACTGGAGTCACACCCCAGATTTGGACCTATTGGCCAAACTGCTGTATTTTCCCCAGTGTTGGTGCATCACTGCTGTGGCACCACTTTGCATGTAAAATCATTTGTTCTGCTGGTGAATTCTGCCGCTGAACTGCCCGTGCTTTTTGTGGGTTAGAAGCAGGGCTCTGCCTACTCCTTTTCACCTGAGGATCTTTCAGTTGCAGAATATTCCCTGCTATTGAAGCTATGATGGAGCAGGACTTGCAGAGTTGTCTTCGAAATTACACTCTGGAGCAGTGTAAAAAAGTGTGGGAGAGTGGGGAGGAGGAACAGGATTTCTTTACGTTGACCTATTGCTTTTGAGTAATTCAGCCAGGCTACATTTTGTGTAAAAAGATTTTTTCAAATTAAAGCTGATTGTAAAGGAATTTCTGTGCACCCTCAATTAGATGCTAAATGAGATCAAGATGAGTACCATTACTGTGATGAATATGGTGACATTAGCCTGTTTGAATTGCTCGAAGCACACCTGCTCCTCCTGGCTATTTTCCTCTTTGACCAAGCCAAACACAGTGAATTTCTGTGGAGTAGTACGAGCAGCTCCTTCAGGGGATGGATCTCAGCATCCAGTTAATGCAGGGGCTTTTCTCCCCTGCAGAAAGCCACTGCACTGGATAATCTGGAGTGCTGTTGACACTTCTTCCCTGGAAGAGCTGTTGGTGCTCAGCAGAGGGATCCATCCTTGGCAGCATCGTGCTGCTTTGCAGGCCATAGCCCCAGTGGGGCAGTGGGATCTGACGCCCTGTGTCCTTCCTTCATCCCTGTCCTGCATTCCTTCCTTCATGTCTGTGCTTTAACATGACTTCCCTCTCACCAGATGCAGGGGGATGAGCCTTGCAAGAAAGCCAGCCAGTGCCACTGCTGGAGGCCGACTTGGTCACTCCCATTAAGTCTGGCATGATCTATGGGAATAACTGAGACCATCTGGCAATGAAGCAGACAGCTGGCGAGCACCTTCAGCAGGACCAGGGAGTACTGAGCTTAGAAAAACAACAAAAAAAAAAGGAACTGGGAACAACAAAGCATAAATCAAAATGTTATAGAATAACATTAATAGTAGTACAGAGGTATTGTCACTGAATGGTTTCCTTAGATGCTGCTTGGGTGATGTGTTTCAGAACTAGCTGGACAAAGTAATATCAAAGGGGCCAGCTGTGGGCTGAAGAGCACCTGGAGAGCTTTCCCTTTCCTGTCTGGAGCACTCAAGCCTCATGCACGCCTGCGGAACGCTGTGAGGCAGACGCAGTGTCCTTGGTCTCCAGATTAGGGTCCATTGCTGTGGGAACATCAACCCCATGTGCCTCTGCATGCTAGCATGCCTGGACACCTCTGCTGGAAGGAAAGCTAAACCTGAGGTGAAAATAGAGATGTCTGTGGGTGAAGCACTGAAAAATTTTGGTGAGTCTTGGCTCTGGCTCCTCTCTGCTGCCCCAGGGCTACCAACTGGTACTGCCTTGTGACTGGTGAGTATCAGGGGAGAGAATGGGAGATGGAGCTTTCAAAGGCCTCCTGATTTCCACTGATGAGAGAGAGCGCCAAGGCTTTGTGAGATCTCTTTTTAGATTCATGGTCTCCTGCTCCACAAGCAATGCCTGCTAAGCCTGCGTCACACCATCTGCAGTGTGAGATGGGTGAAGGCATTTATGAGCAAGGAACGCCCTGGTCATGCAGCAAAGCCGGTGTGCGACCTACAGAGTACAGGGGGTAAATTTTTCAATCCAATCCCTTGTTTCTAGGTGATCACAGAAAGCTTGTGTCACAAAACAAAATCATGAAGGCCAGCCACTGTCAGAGCTGAAATGTTCAGCTGCGGTGTGTAAGCAGTCCACACATGCACAAAATCAGCTCAGAGAACAGAGGTATGTTTTAATCGCTGCCAGCACTAGAGAGGTAGTATGCACTTTTGTAATTCATCTGTTTACTAACATCTTGCAGACTGAAAGTCTCAGGCAACATCCTCTAAATTAGGCCTACAAAGTGCAATAGATCTATGCCTGCTAGAAGAAAACACAGGCTCTCCCGTTATTAATGTGCAAAATCTGGAGATGAAGTCACATCTATAGGATGATCTATTTTGGTGAGTCACGTGTGCTTAAATCCCTGCCTTGATCTGTTAAACCACCAAGTCTGCCATAAATATTTGATGATGAACAAGCTAATAAAATGTGGAATATCAACAGAGGGAGAGCAAATGTGTGATTCAATTTTTAATTACCACCAGTTTACTGTAAAGACAAGTTATTTTCTGTTAGAGACTGAAAACAACAGTTTTCTTTCTTGATTTTAACAAAAACGATGGATCCTCACAGAAACAAAGGAACTAGGGCACAAGAAATAAGGTAGAACAGTCTGGTTTTATTACCATAAGTAATCAAGAACTTTTGTTTCCCCTTTTCTTCGTCTTCTTTCCTTCCTTCTCTTTTTTTTTTTCTTTGTCTTTTAATTTTCTTTTTTTTTTTTTTTTTTTCCTTTTTCTTTTTTACAACGTACATTAAGGTGTGAATCTGATGTTACGGGGATGTGGAAATGAAGGGAAACCGGTGACATCACAATACTCTACAACTTTACAGCAAATGAGAGTCTGAATCTGTTGCATCTACCAGTGTATAGCAAGGGTGGAAAGCAAAGGCACACATAGGCTTATGAACCCCTCGAAAGAAAGGGTGAAGCGGGAGAATGAGAACAGAAAATCCATTGAGTACAAAACGGGCATTTCAAGGTCAAACAAGCAGCGGATGCAATGTATGTTACAAAGGCAGATCGCCATACGAGCTGTTGCTGTGATTATTCATTTCTGTGTTTTGACAGAAGACTCTGCCAAGTCATAGCAATGGACCTGTGCATTTTGGTACTCGGGGGGGGGGGGAGGGGAGGAAAGGGGGGGTTTGGAGCCTGGTGAAAAGGCTGTGAGTCGGTTCTTTCCAAAAATGACCTTGCTACCTATGGTTTTTAAAGTTCTTCTTTTCTGTTTGCTTTTATTAAATCAACAACATTGCTTTGGATACAGATCTACCTAATCCAGTCTGCATAGTTCACTAAAGGTGAACAGGTGTCGTAAAAGAAACCATGATGAAATGAAATCACATGCAAGCACCCTTGTTACACACTTTGGTCTAAACCATTCAGACTTTATATATACCATCTATAAGCTAACGGACTTGAAATCTGTCTTTTCAGTCATTCAGAAACAAAACCAAAATCCTGGAAAGCAAATTGAAGTATAAAATTTTAAAAAACAAACTGAAACAGAAACAACCACCTTACTCAAACATACTGTTCAGTAGATATAGATATATATATATATAAAAAGCTTAGAAGCGATCCCCATCGTTTGTCTACAGTATGTTGACACAGTTATCGTAACAAATTTAAAACACATCTACTTTTTTTTTTTGTTTTTTTTTTTTTTTTTTTTTTGTATAAAATTAATTTTTTTAACCCCAGGGGAGTACATGCAGCATCCTTCCGGAGCAGCAGGTCGCTGCAGCAGGAGTCTGCCCACCCGGCTTAGCTCCGCATGCCCGGCGCGATGCAGGATATGCTGCCGGGCTGCTTGCAGGCGCGGCCCCTCTTGCCCCGATGCCTGTCTGCAGATGGACGACAATGCTGTCCCCAAGGACAAGGTGTTGGTGTCTCCTCTGCTGCCACGAGAGCGGTCGCAGGGCGGGGGGAGGCACGGAGCTGCAAGGCAGCGCGGAGGGAGAGTGCTCTGGGGAGAGGGCTTGGCACGGCTGGAAAGTGGAACCGACACAGAGGGGATGGCACTGGCCTGGTCTAGCAACGGTTGTGGGGTGATGCTGATAGCCGCCGCATTCTTCTTCGAATGCCTTGCTCCAGTTCTCGAGCGGGCGCGGAGGAGGGAGGACCAATAAATATTTGCATTACTCCGAGGGGAAAAAGAAAAAGGTTTTTTACATACTACAGCTCACAATTATACACAACTGAGGGTGTAAGGCACAAATTTACATGTGGAAGAAAACAGGCTATTCACAGATATATTCCCACGAAAAACCCGTGTGATAAGACCATAATTTATGCATGGTAACAGCCGGCATATTAATTAGTTCACACTGTTTGAGGATTTCGTTTGCCGTCTCACATGCAAGGTGAAATGAGATGGCAATTCACAAGCTGGTGCCGTCACGGAAAGAATTAGCTACTGACAAAGCTATGTTGATAGCAATGGCGCACAAATGTGCAGCTTTTAAAGAGTTTCTCTTGCAGTTGCGTTACAAGTTATGAACCTGTGGTATTTGTCGCTGTCTTAGGTCAGAGGCCAAGCCAGCTAATTAGCTGAGAGATTTAAATAGATATCCCCTTTTTTTTTCAGCTAATCAGACAGTCCAGGCACAAAGTTCAGAATTCCAGCTCCAACTTAATTAACTCAGTGAATTTATTGGAAAAATAAAAGTTTTAATTACTCCAGTTAACGGGTTTCACGTTAAATAGGTATAACTTTCAAGGTACTTCTCTGAAGAACTGCTCACAGGATGATATGCGGAAGTCATTTCCTTAGGAAAAACAAAAGTTGAACAATAAATAAGAGGAGTTACTTGCGTTAACAGTCACGTTACTCATTAAAAGAGAAAGGTAGCAGAAATCTATGACATAGTTTGCCCAGCACGGCATTATAACTGCTGTAACCAAATGGCTGTAACACTGATGGGCATTTCACAGTACCTGCATTTAGTAAACTTCTGCCATTGTTAAGTCAGAGTTAGCTTTATCAATGGATTCTTTTTTCTTTCTTTTTTTTCTTTTTCCTTTTTCTTTTTTTTTTTTTTCTTCCTATTTTTATTTTGTTTTCAATTACTGGTTTTGCTTTCCAGAGCACTCTTTCCCAGTTCAGGAATGCACTGTGCAGTTTGAGGGGGAGGGGAGGGGTGAAACATCACAGTCATCTTTCACCTGTGTGCTTTTGGCTCAATGTTTGTGATGGAGAGCTAGTCCTTTGAGCAAAGAACTGAAGGGCTGTGGGGGCGAGTCCTGCGATTGCAAACCTTCAACCATAGGTCATATGGCTCGGGTTAAAAAAATATTCCACTTTTCCCAGAGAGCAGAAACAAACACGTCCTCAGCTTGCAACAACCATCTTCTCAAAGGAGCAGTTGCAGAACACTCTCTTTCAAGGGCAACTTCTGCTTAACTGCCGTTCTCCCCCCACCCACCCCACTGTGATTATGTACACGCGTCATTGGGCTTCATGGACGTGGAGAGCGGAGCAAAGGAAGGTTTGGGAGGTACGTCTGGCTTTAGCGAGGGCGTGCGTTTCAACCCTGACCTGGTCAGAGAGTTGTACGTGGTGAGACTCGGCTGTCGTGATACAGTCATGGCCTGTGCCTGTGCAGCGTGGACTTGTATGGAGTCCACCCGCTGCGGAGCTGGCGGTGGGTTGTCACCCCTGCCGAAGCTCTGATTTCGAGAGAGGTGTGATGAGTTAGAGGAGTTGGTGTTGTTTCTTTTGAGGGTCGACGCCTGGTGACTTCTTGTGAGCGAGTTTGTAGGGTAGTTTCTCTTGTAGTCCACGTTGTAAGCAGAAGAATGCACGTCTAGCCGCTTGCTCAGGCCACTCTGAGACAGGGAGGTGCTCGGCGGCCCGAGCGAGGCTTCCCGCTGAGGTACCTTTGGCGGCATGCTGTCAAGATTTTCCACCAGGTTAACCCCATGGCTGGGGCTTTTGCTACTGAGATGGTCCTTGATGGTTTTGTACTCAAGGGTGGCATTCTGGTCCTCCACAGACATCTGAGCCCCATCACTTATTTTTGGCTGGTCAACATACTCGTGTTGGTAGCCTTGCTGGGCAATGGGCAGAACCATAACACTGGGAATGTGGCTAGGAGAAGCCCTGAGTGGCAGGTCAGTTGGGATCACGGGTGAGGCCATTGGGGGGATATCTTTTGTGCAGGCATTGATGAGGTTCTGGTTTCTTTCCCACTCTCTACTGCCACGGCTGGGCTTCCTTTTCTGCTGCAGGGTTGGGGTGGACTCTGGGGTTGGCAGGGCAGCCAGGTCCAGATGGTGCTGGTCAGCCTTGATTAGCATCTTGGTAGTGCTGCCTGGTGTGGCCAGCTTGCCATTGTGCATCAAAGGTGTGAGGATAGCTTCAGGCTTTGGTTCTTTGGACTGAGCATCTCCAAAGAGGCCACTGAGCTTGGTAACACTGCTCATGGAGCCGCGGCGGGAGTGGGTCAGTTCCTTCTCCTTTCTCTGCACAACAGCCACATCTCTGCGGCGATGGTCACAGATACAGTACACTACGATGCCCGAAAAGACGGCCCCCATTACAAAAGCTAGAATTACTGCAATGGCCAACAGGGTGACCGGCACCAGCTGATCATGACCCTTCAGGTAACTCTCACGAATCACTCCTGCAATAAACAGCATTACAGTGGTTAGGCAAACCAAGGAGAGGGAAAAGTCACTTATCTTTAACTGCTTTATTTGAAGGAGGTTTGTTCATGTTCTGCAAATGATTTTTGACCAGCTTGCCAAAATTTAGAGATATACTGTACCTGCCAGCTACTTCTTACATGAGCAGCTTTGGGATTTCAATTCTGGAGCTGAATATGAAGTCCAGGAGGGGAGAGAGAATTCACTTGCAGGGCATATGGAGTCAGTTTGAAATCCATGCCCTGGGCAAATACACACTCACTTTGAGAGGTCAGAGCTATTACTGCTCCTCCTCTGACATACTGCTTATTCCTCCCTTCATTCAATCTCTGTTCTGCTAATACCATCTTATTTTCACTACTTATTTTTACTAAATTGCTCACAGTGAAAATCCTGTGAAAGAAAGAGAGAGGGGAGAAGCTCTGCAAATATCAGAGAAGCGCATCCCACATTGTTTAAGGCTTCTTTCTTTGAGTGTCATTCTTTTATCTTTGTCATATGTTTTAAAAGTCAGTGTCACAGGCCTGAGCTTCAGGAGGATGCTTAAATAACTATGAAAGACAGAGCACTGCAGGAATGTATTGAGCCTTCTAGAGGACTGTCCTTGCTATTTTCATTCTTAAAGCTCTTCCTTGTTCTGGACACATGAATAGGCTTACCTTTGTGCTGAAGCTTATGCTTTTCTGCTGAAAGCTCTGACTTTGAGGGTCTCTTTTTTATGCCCCTGTGCTGTGGTCACAGATTATGGTCAGATCTTACTTGGCCCTCCAAGCCCTTGCTGCCAGAGAAGGCATCTGTGGCATTTCTCCTCAGTCTGAAGAGGCTAACACAGCATTAATCAATGCCCTGAATTTCTAAAGAAAGAAACTTCCTTTTTTTTTCTGACATAGTTGGGCACCAAGCCAGCAGCACTAACGAAAGACAAGCACAGCACATCTAGTTTGCTTTCTGATTTCTGGTTTTGTTCTTTGTGCTTAACAAGGTGCAGCCATTGCCTTACAAGGAGCTGAAGGAACATCTCTCCCAACTCTTTATCCAGAGAGTGTCCAAACACCAGGGCATTAAAAGCTCCACGAGCTCTAAGGAAATGCCAGCCATGTCTATTACAGGAGAGACAGCAAGACAGCAAAATTACCTGCAAGGCACTCCTGAGTCTTTGCAAAGATACAAAACTTCCATGTCACAAATCACCTCCTCCTAGAGAGGCACCTTTTTACATACTTGGCAGACAAGATATCAGTGGCCCAGAATTAGATTCAAATGCAAAATACTCCTCAGCAGACTATGGTAAAAAAAAAACACTGAAAGGCTGTCCTCATCTCAAGGAAACCTTTGGCAAGCATTATGGCTAAGTAGAGCACTATTACTATAGTATGTATTTTCTGCCCCCATTTAGTTACTGAGTTTAGTTGCACATGAGATATTTATTACAAGGTAGGGTCTTTATATTTAATACAGCTCTTGAAATCCTGAATTCCTGTTTGTGACATCACAGGCAGTTGCCATGGAAGTTATTATGCTGTCACCAAGGATTGTGATTTCATAAGAATAAAGAGCAGGAACAGATGATCGCTCATGAAGCCCAGATTCTGCAATCATACAAATCTTCATAGTCAAGGAGTAAGGGAAGTAAAACAGACCTCTGGAAACAATGTATAAGCAGAAATCATCTTCAGATCAAATGTTCCTGAGAACATGTTTTTAAAGCACAGCTGCTTTTCCACAGTCAGATGTTTCTACTCTTTGTCATGAGCACTAAGCAAAAGTTGGTAGAGCCTAACCCTGTGATTTAAATCCACACACAGAGCTCCTGTATAAAACCCAGAGACACAGTGCAGCAGTTACAGTACTGTCAGTAGGAGCAGCATTTCACTGCTCTGAAGTCTTAACGTTTTTACAGTAACAAGGCTCAAAATACCTGATCAGCACCTACCTAAATAGAGAAGTACCGACAGCCACTAAGCGATGTCTGGAACCAGAAGCCATCTGTGTCCCTAGAGGATGGACAAGACTTTTTCTAGCTTAAGGATTTCTGCCTCTCTACCCATCATATGCAGAAGTGACATGGAGGCAGAAGATGGGAGCTGTGTATTCAAGCCCCAAAAATGGTTCCATAGAAGGACTCAAACTCATGTGATTCAAGCTATGAGAATGTTGCTCTGCTTCCTACAACAGAGGAAAAATGCCTAGCCACTGGGATGGAGGTTTCCTTCAAATGCTTATAGGTCTTTCAGGAAGGAGTTACAGCAGAGAAACCAGTTTGCTCTGTGGAAGCTGTCCTGCTCTCCTCAGAGCCCAGTATAACCATGGGTGGATGGGTGCTCCATGCCTGGCACTTCCTGCAGCCTTCAGGCTGAGGGCTGTTCTACAGCTGACAGCTATAAATCACAATCCCTGCATAAAAGCAGCACAAACTCTTGCCATCAGTTTTATATAAATGATGGATATGAAATCATTACAATGAATGTGTCAAAATTATCACACAGTTCAGTATGAGTGACCATGCCTGTTCAAGAAAAGGGTAGCTGAAAAGCTGCAGCTCGTTCTGCAAGTGTTTTACCAGCAAAGATTTAGAGGGGATTTAGATCAGCCTGATTCCTGCTACTTCCTCTAGAGCTCAAGCCCTCCCAGAGTTTATCCAAGTTTAGGTTGGATATCAGGAAGCATTTCTTTACAGAAAGGGCTGGTAAGCACTGGAATAGGCTCCCCAGGGAGGTGGTTGACTCACCATCCCTGGATGAGTTTAAAAACTGTTTGGATGTGGTGCTCAGGCACATGATTTGGTGGAGGGTTATTAGGGTAATATGGTTAGGTTGTGGTTGGACTTGGTGATCTTTAAGGTCTTTTCCAACCTGACTGAATCTATGATGATATGATTCTATTATGTTTCCTATACAAGACAGAAAAGACATTTAACTTTACTGGCTTTGCTCTAAGCAGGTAGTTGTTCTCTGGACACAAACTTAGGTTAATGAGGTAATTTACTTCTTATGATATAACCATCCAAGTTTTTTTTATGAAAGTCTTCCTAACAACTTCAAATGAAATGATTAGGATGGGCAAGATCTGACCTGCATTATGAAACTGAAACATGATTATAAAACTGAAACAATTATTAAAAAGTATGAGGAATGTTCAGCATCCCACTATCAAGATTGAGGGAGTGAAACCTAGTATTAATATCATTTTGGAAAAGGTCTTGGGGGTAGAATAGCAGTAAAACTCAAAAAGCTTCGAAGACATATATGAGGTTGAATATTTGTATGTTCAAAGATCAGACTTTACCTGTAGGTAAGCACAACACTGACACTTGTCTGTCTCCCTGAAATTTCCCACTGAGGTTAAAATCTGTCTATTGCAAATCACAGCTGGGTTTAGCACTGCAGGCTTTCCCACGTGGGATATACTTAGTTCTGGCTACTGAGAGGGCCAGGCTAGTCTCCTGATATTCTCCACTTTTCATAGCTCTTGTGATTCCAGCAAAAAACACAATCTTTGCCACTGACTTTCCATAATTTCATCCCATGTCCTTTTGTTTTGCATCTTCAAACATTCTTCATTCATTTTCTCAGTGTATTCAGTACACCCTGTACTATCAGAATCTGAAACATAAAATATCACTTCTTACCCATCTAATGAGAGAGGAGATCTGATATATAATTCACTACTCCAAGCAGACCTTACAGGTAAGATACAGAGAGTTGGCTGACTGATTGGTTAACTGCAGAATCACAGAACAGCCAGGGTTGGAAGGGACCTCAAGGATCATGAAACTCCAAATCCCCTGCCACATGCAGGGCCAACATCCTCCATGTTTAATACCAGCCCAGGCTGCCCAGGGCCCCATCCAACCTGGCCTTGAACACGTCCAGGGATGGACGGGGCATCACAGCCTCTCTGGGCAGCTGTTCCAGCACCTCACCACCCTCTCTGTCAAGAACGCCCTGACATCCAACCTCAATCTTCCCTCCCTCGACTTCAAACCATTTTCCCTTGTCCTGCAGTTATCAGCCCTTTCAAAGAGTTGACTCTCCTCCTGTTTTTAGGCTCCCTTTAGGCTGCCATGAGGTCACCCCACAGCCTCCTTTTCTCCATGCTGAACAAGCCCAGCTCCCTCAGCCTATACTTGTAGGGGAGGTGCTGCAGCCCCTGATCATCTTCGTGGCTCTCCTCCAGACCCTCTCCAACAGCTCCCTGTCCTTCTTGTACTGGGGGCTCCAGACCTGGACACAGTACTCCAGAATGCTAAGAAAAATGTTTCCAAAATTCCACAGAGTTTCAGTCTGAAATGACTTGTTGAATGTCTGTGGGTGAAAATAAGAGAGAAAAGACTGGAGTTGATAAAATAATATGGATCTACTGTATGCTAGATAATCGTAAGCATGAAGGAGACGAGGTTTTTTCTTTTCATTAACTAACAGAAGTATTCAAGGGTTAGGACTTCACCTGGACATCTGCTAAATCTGCTAAAACCGTACAAATGTGCATGGCGCTGAAAATGTCATTGCATCAAAATGCTGATGTAACTATTCTGTGCACATTCTGGTTGTTCTAATTCTAACAGGAAAAAAATATTCTGAAGGCAGAAATGTAATTAGGATGAAGTAATCATATTAGAATATAGTTCATCATCCTAAAGAATACATGACATGAGCATAAGGGAATGGGAATAATGAATGCCAATACTGCAAATTTCAATAATGGAGGACAAATAATAAATATATGGATATTAAAGCATTTACTCCTTCCTATTTGAGCAAAAACTGTGGTTTGCTGAACTGTAGCAAATTGTGGTAATGCAGTTCTATCAAAACAGAGACAAGAGACAAGGAGATCCCATCGAAGGAGAGATCTGACACTCCAATTTTCAGAATGAGAATGACAGTATAACAAATGATTAAACTACCAATTTCATAATCAAGTATAAAAAAGTGAATATAAATTTGTCAAGAATAAATTACATTAGCCTAGCCAAATT